CCCAAATGTTTAAAATTCTCCTTTTGGAATGCAACTTTTCAACTTTACTCACTTCAGTTTTGATCAAATGCATTTTCTTTTGTCCAGACCTTCACGCTCGAGCTGAGCAAACACAAGGAGAAAGACAAGTTCTGTCCAATAGGCAATTTTCTAAAGACAGACATTCATGTTTCCACAAACTCTCACAACCCTCCCAGCAGACACAGTGTCTACGCTTCATATAGGCTTAAAGGTAAAAGAAGCAGAATGTCTTGTTCTGTGTTTATTGGACACCCTCAAGGAACAAATGTGCGTTTTTTTTGTTGTTTTTTTTTAGCCCGAGTCAAAATAGCGCTGTAGGGATATTGAACGACATCGATTTGTGCTGAATGCTGCGTGTGCTGAATTGCTCTCGACAGCAGCAAGTAATTGCACGGATATGCGGCGAGAACACATTCAATTACTGCAAGACAGGGAGCTCGGTGAGTAAGGTACAAAGCTGAGCGAATGAGAACAAGAACAAGGGCAGGGGAGGGAGATGTACAGAGGCAGACATTATGTGCTCTTCTAAATGTAAAGTAGCTCTGAGAACGATTTGCAAAGACTCACTGCACCCTGCTGCATTGTTATTGTGTGGATATGTGGATATATATATATATATATATATATATATGGATTTTGTAGTAGTTAATAATCTCATCTCAATCCAAAGAGAAGAATTTAAATCTTAAGCTGAAAACCATCCCGACAATCTGAATAAACAGTGACTCAGTCAGGATGTCCCAACCCGCCCTGCCACAGTGATTCCCAGCCTGTGGCAGGAGGTCATGTATGGGGGACTCCAAACCCCCTCTGGGGCGCCGACTGGCCTCTGAGTGAACCATTATGAGTCATATCGGAGTTAATGACATTTAAATGAGCAGCTTGTGTATTTAAATAAAGCATGCTCAGTTAGAACTGCAGTGCTGCTGTTTCAGAGGATGTGCTGAGGATCGTCAGTTGATTGTTACATAAGGTGACTCACATCTACCGTCTTTGAGCGCGCATTGCTCCTCCTACACATTCAGCTGGACAAATCTCTTCATCAAAGTTGAACACATGAACTTCACATGAAGGCATCCCGAAATCACAGCTGTTTAAAACATCCAAATTTTCCAGAAAATACTGAAAAACATACCAACGTTAAACTCAGTCACCAGAAAAAAAAAAATGTTGGCACTGTTTGTTACCTTGGACTGTTTCATACGTGTCAAATCAGTGTTTCTAAAGTGACCTGGTATACGAGCTGACCTTGTCATCTGGAGGTGGAGGGGATGGTGGATGGGGTGTCAGTTTGGCGAGACACCTGCCAAGGTGCAGACTACAAAACTGGTTTAGTTTAGTTGCTGTGTTTTCAGCAGCTTTTTAGGGCACCTGCCATGGGTGATTGTGGAAACTGTTGCTGTTTTTTCTTGCATTTTTTTAGGCGAGAAAATAAGTTGTTTGTTTACTGAGATATGGCTGCTTTTTGTTAGCCTGGCGTGTCCAGACCCAATTCGCAAAACGCAAATGGGTCTGGACACGGAGTGTACATTTCCTCTTTTCCCGAGGGGCGGTATCAATGGCTGTCACTCAAAGTGCCCCTTCACGCAATTGGAAAGATGGAAAACCAATCAGAGTAAAGGAAACATGTGACGTAGGCTAGCACAACGCCACTGTAAACAGACCAGCAAGCTGCAGCGGAGATGAGCTGTGATGATGTCTGGGAAAGAGTGTTGCCGTCTTTGTGGATTTCCTCCTCACTGTGGACTCAGAGTTGCATGGCTGTGATTCCCAGCTTGCTAGGTGTTTGTACCACCAAATTTAGTATTTTAAGCCAAAACATGGTCTTTCCCTAACCATGGTGGTTTTTGTGCCTAAACATAACCAAACATTAACCACAGTGAAACAAAGTTTTAATAAATGTGCCATATAAAAATGTGCAAATACAGAGGTAAGTAGTAACACATTACAAGTAATACACAAGTAAAAAATGATTTTTTTTTAAAGGAACAAATAATTTTTATGTACCTTTTTTAAAAACTGTATTTCTGTTCCTTACTCTAGCATATTTTTAGCCCCTAATCTACTTGTTACTTTACCACTTTATACCTTCTTAAAGACAAGTCTGATGTAAATTTGGGGATCAAGTGTAGGGGAGTGGAGGAGAAGCTTTACTGCAGATGCTGAGTTGCCAGCTGTCTGGAGGAAAGAGAAGCACCAGCTGTCTTTTAACCACGATGCGATGATGACGGAGCAAAACCCAGAGCAAGAGGCAGCTCTCAGAGACAATCCCTGACCACATCTGGCCACGCTCTTTATACCACAGTCTAAAAAATTGCTGCTGTGGCTCCCAGAAAACACTGAGACCTTCGCTCTTAAAAACTCTTCTGATTTGCAATCACAGTGAAGTAAGCTGCACAAACTGTAAGTGAAAATATAGTCAGCTACCTAGCGTTAGCTATGTTAATTTGTCATGCATAACGTTCATCTTTAATGTTATGATAATGACATTAACTTAACTTGTAGCTGGTGGTCTGTTGGGCTTTTAAATTGGTGTGCTTTAGAAAGCAGTTAACCTGATAATGCAGAGTTCAACGTTTAACTTTCATAATAGCAGTAGAAATCATTGCCTCCCACCTGTGTGTTTTGGTTAAAACATAACATTTTCCATCGGCCTGCACACCCAAAAAATACCAAAATGGAAAGTAACGTGCTTTGAGTAATTTATTAACCAGGTACTTTTCTAAAATTATTTTTATGGGCTTTTTGTCTTTAACTGATAGTACAGCTAAGGATGGACAGGAAAGGTGGGAGAGAAACAGGGGATGACAAGCAGCAAAGGGCCACAGGTCGGAATCGAACCTGGGCTGTGACCTCAAGGTCGCCCTGACCAGGCACCTTTTTTTTTTTTTTAAACTTTTATTTGAGTCATTTTTCATGGGAGTGATTGTACTTTTACTTGAGTACAGATTTTCAGTACTCTACCCACCATTGTGCAAATGTAAACCTAACGTGTCAGGGGTTTGCAGAAACGCACAAAGCCAACATTTTTCCTGGCGACTGGGTTGGTAAACTGCAGTGAGATCATGTTTTTTTAAAAAGGCCCAATGTGATGAGAACAGAAAATGCATTTTTTTCTGTAAAGAGTGTTTGATCGTTTCCATCAAAGACGGGAAAAGTGACCAAACCTGACACCTCAGCCATTCGAGTCAAAATTAAGCCCAGCAGAGTGACCGTCTGCGATTGACCAATCAGACTGCAGGGTTTCTAGCACCTTTCCGAACCAGATCTGTGTGCTAGGTACCCCAACAGAGGGAGGACCAAAAATGGGGACGGTAAGGAACGCTTCTGTCGGTACCATCCACAACTTTTCACTGTGGAAACAGAAAAAGAAGCGTACCGAACTGAACTGTTCTGTACTGCTCGGAGGAAACAGGGCTTTAGATGATCTTATCTAATGTATTTTACAACTGTTCCCTTTTACAGGTCGTTGTAAATTGAAACTTGAGTTGATGTTCCTCAGCACACACAAAGCAACACAAAGTGTGTTTAAAATGTGTCGACAAGTAGAAGTCAAGCAATTAAATCCAAAGACAACTCGAAATTTTGGCACTTTTTTGACAAAACTGGAGATGAATAACAAGCTCCTTAGTTCAAACCACCAATAAAAGCACTTATTAAATCATAATGAAAGCAGATGGTGCATTGATAGAAAAAACTGAGATGCTGAACATCAAAAGACGTAAAGAAAGACGAGAGGGAGAGCAGCGCTGACGGAAAGAGATGGTAAAAGAAGGAAAGATTATAAATAGAGGGAGAGGAGGAACAGACTGAGAGAGGAGAGGCCAGATGGATGGGAAGAATTACAAGAGGACAGTGAGAAAAGACAGAGGGAGGACAGTCGGATTAAAGCGAGGGATATGGAGGGCGAGTAGCCCCTATTAGAGCTTTGTGAACAGAAGTACTTCATTAAGCTCGGTCGATGTCGCGGCGGCGCAGACAGCATACTAATACAGACCCACATATATCCTCTGTGCACCCCCCCACCCCCCCCCCGACCCCTCTGCCTTCCTGTATTCAAACCCTCCCTGTCCTTTTAATTTCTCTTTATATTTCCTCCCCTTTGAGCATCTTGAGGAGCCTGTGGCTGCGCTCGAGCGTGGAAAGAGAGAAATACAAAGATGAGGATAAGAACGGACTAACAAACTAACTAGTTCAGCTCAGGGCTCGTATTTATCAAAGTTCTAAGAACTACACTTAAGACCCAATCCAGGATTAAAAAAGTTCTTTGCTGAGTGTGAGCGTTCAGGCACATTTATCAGGACACTTACTCCTACTTAGAGCAAAATGTAACATTTAAGTCTGAACTCACTAATCACAAATCGTGCATCTGCAGAGCAGGACGAGCCGACAACTGTCAGTGTTTATTCTTAAAGAAAAAAAAAAAATCAAAAACATAATTTCATGTGTTCAAAAGCCTCATTCTTTTTGTGTGGACATCTTGATACCTTAAGCAGCAGTTAATGTGAAATTAATATCAGTTTCATAAATATATAGTCAACAAGTTCTCATCACAACTCGTTAAATACCAGCGCTCTGTCAGTGGACCTACACGCCTAAATATGACATGCTATGTACCCTCCTGCGTCTGCTCTGGATGTTGTGGGAAGGCGTGTTACTTAATGCTCCTTACATGCATCCCGGCTTTTAAAAATAAACTTCAGTTTTCACAGGAAATGTTCAGTTTCTGCTTGTTACATGCATAGTATTTTTCAAAGTAAAACTACAACGTAGGTAAAACACTTTGTATGTTAAGTTTACTTCCTTGAGTTTAGGCAACAGAACTCTGTGGTTAAGTTTGGAAAAAACCATCATGGTTTGGCTTCAAGGAAGTTTTAACCTGACTCCTGTCTGACCACTGAGCGTGGACACTTCCTGTGTCTGTCCTTTCAAATTAAATTCCCACATGCTCCAGTCATATAGGTTTGGATTTATTTTGACAAGACCCAGCTCCTAACAGAGTTTCACTTTTTTTTTTTTTGACCAAGCGACCAATGAAATCTTTTTGTCTATTGACCTCTCTGGTTGACTATTAAGGGGCAGCCCTAGTTTTTACAAGTGTCATTAGCATAGCATGCTACACATGCTAGCACAAAACATTGTTGAAAAACAAACTCAGATAACTTGGCTGACTTTTGTTTCACAGGGAAACGAACAGTGGGCTACCGGGCAAAAGTCCAGAGTTTCTTGCTCCTCATACTACAATAGTTGCCTGGTGCGTATCATACCGCCAACAACACTGACAAAACAGCAGTATTTGATGCGTTGAGTGAGAACAGGCTGATATAATATATAAACAGAATTGAATTAAAAGGAAATTGGCCTGAAATTTAAATAATTTTTTTCTGCAAGAATTCTGCTGCTGGTAGAAAAGGTGTGTCCAAGAACTGGAACATGATTAAAAACAAAATGAATACAACTTTTTGTTGTTGTTTGTAGCACTGCTATATTTAGAAATATCCAATCAGCATTCAGATAAAATAAGAAAAGTGGGCTACAATTAATTTTACTTTATTAGCAAATGTATAACTCATCATAACCAGTGATATTTTGCATGATCACCAAAAAAATCAGCAGCTTTTATTTTGTAGTTTGTGATTTTGAGTAAACGTTCAATTCAGTTTTTCACTTTTACCTTTCACTAAAGGGTTTCTGATTTTTTAAATTTTTATTCTGTAAATCTCTCAATCTGGAAGGCTCTTATGCTTAAGCTTGAAAAGAGCTATATTAAAAAATTCTTCTTCGTCTTCTTCTTATTATTATTATAATTAGGGATGCGTGATAATATCAAAATGTAATCAGAATCAGCCAATATCGGCTTTAAAATAAGAATCGTCAAACATGCTTTTCTTAATTTGCACAATAAATGAATATTACATGCACTGAAAAGTATTGTATTTCATAGTTGGTGGGGCCTCACGGTAAGAGTATGTATGCAAAATATGATGTTAAATCCACAACAGAAGAGACTTGATGATCACTAAAATTAGGTAGAGAAAAAAGTGTATATATATCGATATCGGTATCAGTTATTGGTCAAATGAGTTGTTCAATCCAATATCGTACATCCCAAAATACTATAATGAAGTTTCAATGAAGTTTTAAGTTTGATACACATGAGCCCTGGTTGTTCGCAGTTTGGTAAATATAAGCAAATGTGTTCGGCCTGTTGAGACAGAGATAAGGCTGCTGAACTGTCATTCTATCACTATACGCTGATGACCAGCTATTCTACACCTGCTAAAACCAATCAGTCCGAGCTGTGTAAACCAAAGCAGGGGTGTTTTAAGTTGTAATGGTGATGAAGATGTGTCTTGTGGTGTGGTGTGTGTGTGGTGAAAAAAGAGAGAAAAAGGTCCTCTTTGACAGTTTTTCAGCTCATACGACTATAAATAAATAAAATTCAGAGATCCACAAAGAGATCCTTGGTTTTCTTTTTGTTATGGCCTTTCTACCTACATTTTATCTTCAAGTTTGATATTTTGAAACAATTTCTTTTCTTTTTTTCATTAAATTTCATCTGACTTGATAGTTGAAGTAGTTCACGTGTACAAGTTGTTGTTAGAACAAACTTGGAGGTGGTGTCTGGCTTTATGGAGCATCTTCTTTCTGCTCCAGATCCTCTTTCTTTTTATTTTCACTGAGAAGGAGAGTTGTGTTGTAGGTCCCAGAAGAAATAGTTAAAGTTCAGTATCGCAGTATTAGCCATGGAGGTTTTGGGCAAATCAGGAGTGTTATCTGTCCGTAGCCAATCAGATCCTCCTGGAGTCTTTGCGGACTTGTTCTCGCTGTCCTCAGTCTGTTTTGCACGTGTCTTGCACAAAGCCCAAATCAGTATCCTTCCTGTTTTACACTGATGTGCTTGTGTCACAAGACAGGCACAAATCTTGCTCTCACACACACTTGCATACACACACTTTGAGCCAGCGTCTAAATCTACTCCCGCAGAGCATCTTCAGTGTCCGCCCTTTTATCAATAGCTAGCACAATTAGCGTCTTTCAGCATTGACATTCCATAGTTTTTTTTTTTTACTAGCATTCTTGGCTATTAGCCAACAGAAGCTAGCTAACAGTATGACGACTGCTTGACCCCCTTCAATCCATGAACTTTGACCTCTTTGAAGGAAAGTCTGTTATACCCACTCCTGAACTGGGTATTTGTAGTAGTGCTGCGTCATGGTGTTCTGCTGCACGCCTTTGTTTTTAAACTGAAATATCGTGTACACCAGCACCAGGATGCACAGCGACAGAATGCAAGGGATCACCACGGCGATGGCGTTGACCGTAGTCGGGACATCGTTTATAGTCGCCATGATGTCCACGTCGTCAAGGGGCAGCTGTCGGTCTCCGCGGTTACCCTTGCTGCCGGAGTGCTCCATGTCAGACTGGTCGCAGCCCATCCAGTCGCGTAAAATGGACTTGGGGTAGCCGGGTTCCACCGTCAGTTTCTGGTTGTCGAACTTCCAGTACTCCTTCCCCTTGTAGAAATACGTGTAGTCTGAAGATGGGAGGTGGGAGGGGATAAAGGAAAGAGAACAGATAAAGGAAGTTAGTGGGTTGATTTCTGTGATCGAGACAAAGTAAATATTAACATCAATACATTAAAACCACACAAAAACCTCATACAGCTCTGGATACACTGTTTTCAATGATTTTTAATCCTTTCAAGACGTCAGATTGTGACAGATATTTTTATATGACCATCTCCTTCAGGCACGCTACTGTGCATGTTTACATTACATACAGTGCTACATGTAGCTACATGCTACCATCAGGGAAATGTAATATTGGTTATGGATGTTAATTTCTTTATGATTTCAGATCGTGTTCCTGCTGGAACACCTCCGGTTGTGAAGACTTTGGTTTAGAAGCTTTTATTGAAATTACATTTTTTTAATATTGAAATAATGTATGAGTTAAAAAAAGAAATGTAAGAAAGGGGTATAGACATACAAGTTTTACTTCTACCTACTGCTTTTCAGACACTGTTGTCTTTGTCTTGTTGTTTTTCATTATGTTTTTTTGTTTGTTGGTTCAAAATAAGGGCATTCATTCATTCATTCATTCATTCAAAATTACCAGTTCAGTGCAAAATCACATGAGATATCACTGCGAGCAGGGAGCTCCACCATGTTTACTCAGTCTGTTAAAGGCTCACTGTGAGGAGACACTTCAGTCCTTCACTCTTTCAGAAAAGCTTTCTCTTTAACTAAAAAACATCCATCAGTGTCCTCAGCTCTCTCCGTCAGCGCTGGCAGGTCCCTGTGACGCAGAATCTCATTAGAGGCAATAACATTTCTGTTGTGACATGGTGGTTACAGGCAGCTACAGTATTTCAGTCCCAGCAGTGGTTGTTTTTATTGAAGGGCAATATTATGTAATGCCTGTGAGACAGACACTGTAGCTGGGAGACAAATGGGATGGTATGTGAGAGGGAGACAGAGGGAGGGAGGGGGAGAAAACATGAAGTGATTCAACCTCACAGTCTCACAGTCTCACACACACAGGCAGATGTGATGGAAAGCTAAAATAAGTGCATGTACGTGTTAGCTAATATTAGTATTTCATTAAATATCAGCAGGTCAGTGTGATGTTTTCTGTAATGTAATGTAATGGTTCTGTAATGTCCGTTCTGGGCTCCTGAGGAAACATGGTGGTGCAACATGGCAATCTCCACAAATGAAGATCTGCTCCCTGCGTAGACACACTATAAACACTCATTCTGAGGTAACAACAACACAATCATTCTTATTTTTAGGTGATTAAACACTAAAGAAAACATACTTATTATATTCTATTCCATTTCTGCCAACATATCCCCATGACTCCTGCACGATGGGGCTTTAAATGTGTGTTCAGTAATGACTTTTTAATTGAAATCTGGAATGTGTAACTCTCTGTACAGTAACACCTCCACAGCAGCGAGGTTATTAAAACTACATTTGAACTAAACTAAAGATGGCAGAGAATGACAACAAGGATATCCAGCCAAAGGGGACACACACACACACACACACACACTCACACACACACACTTGTCTGTTGCCTCCGAAGTCCCTGCAGGACTGCTTCTCATCTAACACCAAGTCACCATGCCCAACCGACCATGTCACCGCCTCTGATCTCTCTCTCACACGCACACACTCCCTCTGAGGTCGCTGCAAGGTCATGAGGTCACGACTCGACAAGTGGAAGTGATGATGGGCACTATGTGTGAGTTTGTCGGCTTTGCTTGCGGAGGATAAACAGCGTGTTGAAGAAGAAGTAATTCAATGTGAATAAAATGAATCATAAAGAGGCTGAGTGACCGTCTGTCTGCAGTTAACTGACTGACTGACTGACTGACTCGTTGATTAGTGACCTCATCATTTAGTTGTTTTTAGGGCTGGACACGGATATCTGATTATTTGGATTTTTGTTAGTAGGGGTGTGACGATCCATCGATCTGGATCGATATATTGATTCAGTGATCAACAATCCAATATCATATTTGCAAAGTGAAAACATTGATCCATACCATCATCTTATGGTTTCGCATTTAGTTCGAAATCCTGCATCACCATCAAACAGCAGCAGGCAGACGATGACGATAATGTTATTTACTTGGGAATAAATCAGCAGTGTGGAAATATTATGGATTTTGGACAAAATACAGGTCAACTGACAGCACATGCCGTATGAAAACAATGCCGTTACAGGATAGAACAGGACGTCCAACATCCCTGCCTGGCCGGACATCTCATCTCGCTAACTTCTTACTACGCCAACATTAGCTGCTCTTATTCAACAATATTCAGCTGAAAAAACGTGCATGCAGACTGAAATTCAACTGTGTTGTTCTGTCGAGAGATGCAGTGACTTAAACCAACGATGAGTGAGAATAAATCTAAATAATACATGTAATTTGTGAAGCTATGAGTGGAGGAAAACTCCACCAGCAGCTACGCTAATCTATGTAACGTAAACGTGCCAAAGCTAATAATGGTTGACGAGCAAAAACAGCTATTTTGTGTGTGAACTTTGACAGTTATTACTGAGCTGAATTTAATACTTTTGTGAAATGATGTTGCTGTAAATCTGTTTCATGGCTGTTGGGAGAAGTTGGCCTTCGGGATTTTAAGACCGATAGTCTTAAACCATATAGATCCATTATATTGGGGAGAAGGCAGACATCTCTACGGCCGATATCTCTAACACACACACTTCTCATGTTTGGTGATGCACAGACAAAACCAAACTGAATACTCACATCCCTCCCTGCTGATGAAGGCTCCCTGCGGTGCGTCCGGTATTCCCTTCCACACAGTGATGGTTTTGGGGTACCCTGGGTCCACTGTGCGCTTCTCCTCATTGTAGCGCCAGTACTTGTCCCCTTTGAAGAAGTAGGTTTTCCCAACCGGCTCCCAGCGCAGAGCCGTGTCGATGCCATCTTTCGGGAGGGAGCTGTCCAGCTCCACCAGGCTGTGAGGGTAACCAGGCTCAGCCGTCACCTCCTTAAACACCCAGTACTTATCTCCTGGAAGGTGAGGGAAAATATGAGTCAGGATTATAATCATATTATACAAATGTTCAGTTACTATCTCAAGTTTATTGTCAACCTCTGTTTTTTAAGGTGCATTTAAAGCCACAGGCTGAATCAAGTGTTTTTGTCTCTTAGTTTAATATTTACAAGTGATTATTTAATGGTTGCAATCCAGGATCCAGATCAGCAAAATGTGTCTGCCAAGTTCTGTGTTCACAGAGAAACCCTGCTGGCAGACAGACAATATAAGAACATGACCTCCTTTAAACTGTCAGAACATAAACATAACCTTTAGAAACACATCGAGTTAAGTTTCCTTTTTAAACAGAACAGAAAATAGTGAGGTCACAGTCATGGTTACACTGTACTACAACACTGCAGCTGCTTTCTACTTCACTGAGAAAACCATGCAGATTACACAGCTCCTCTGCAGCTTTGTTAAATATCCACTTCTTATTGTTCACAAGATAAATGAGGGAGAATATAAAGAGAGATTCAAAACCGCTGGTTAAATCATAGAACTACTCCATAAAAGCTCTTTTACTGGGCAATTAAATTAGCCTGACTTGACAGCAACTCCTTTTAATAGCCTGTACTCATCATCTGAAAAAAAAAACAACATATGGGAACAATGAATACAAACACAGACACTAATAGCTTTCCTCCAGGCGGTTAATGCAGCTGGACTCAGCTGAAACTTCTTTAATAATAAACTGTACACATTACTGAGAACATGCTGGGAATATAAGCAAAGGCTATAGACCCTTTTAAAGTGCCTTCACACCTGCTCTGTTTGGTTCAGTTCAATCAAACTCAAGTTGGTATGCTCCCTCTGTGCGGTTCATTTGGGCAGGTGTGAACACAGCAATCACACTCAGGTGTGCACCAAAACAACTGGACCAAGACCTTCTTGAAGAGGTGGTCTCGGTCTGGTTACCAACGAACTCTGGTGCAGTTCGTTTGCGGTGAGAACGTGTTCAACCTCGATTTGAACCAACTGCAGTCACATGACACATTGTTTGGGTTAAACATCAGCATGTTACAGTCCTGGAGGATTATAAATGTTAATTATTAATCAGCCATGTTGGCTGAAAAGTTTAGATTCAAAACTTTTCAATCAAAAGCTCCAGAACATTTACTAACGGAGTTCCCTCTGAAATGTGGTGTAGATGTTGAGTAGAAGTTTCAAGCAGCATAATATGTAAGTGCTTCAATGAAGTACCCCAAAATTATACTTAAGTGCAATGCTTGAGTAAATGTTCTCAGCTATTTTCCACCACTGATGAGAGGTATAAAGGACTTCTCAGCTGTCATGCCTTAAGGCCAAGACACACCAAAAAGGCTTCAGAGAACTCGCAGTAACAAAAGCCCCCTGATGCGTTGCCCCACCTCGGCTATGTCTTGGCCAAAATGTTGCACATGAACACACCACAAAGACTTCAACCAACAGCCAACCAGCATGTAAGTTCTGCGCCTGCGTCAGACGCAATAGTCTGTAATCGTTATTAAAAAAGGGAAACTGGAAGACCGTCTTGACGCTAGTTAGCCAGTTAGCACATTAACAACACAATCCAGTGTTCAAAGAACAGAGCATATTTACTGTGAACCAGAGAACAATAACACAAACCATCAGGAAATGTTTCTGTTAAAGAGCTCAATGGATAAAGAAAAATAATCATACTTTATATAACAAGTTTGTTTTTGTTCACTCCCTCCTGACTTTAGCTTTTTGTTTACTTTCCTCATTTCTGTTTCTTCTGTTTCTGTACTGTGTGCTGAGCTGAACCGCTAATCAGGGTGATTTCATTCACCAACAAGTTCTGCAGTTGCCGACGCAGATTGACCATGCTTAATCAGCGTGACCCGACTATTGTTGATGAGGGCCCCGGGCGCTAACTGAAGACTCAACATTGAGCTAAGGCCGATCGTTGGCTTGGTGTGTAAGGGCCTTTACAGGCTCTGGATTATTCGTAGTGCTGTTGTTGCGCAACACACCTCCTACATCATCTTCACTGTAAAAATATAAGATTTCAAAAAGAGGCCCTGTGAACCAGAAAAGCTGCTTCAAGTTTTTCATGTCATCCTATGTGAGCTCATGGAGCAGAGTATTACCTACACACAAAACACACACGTGTTCTGCCCACACGTGTCCACATTGTGTGCAAGAGCCGTCTTCATGTGTCACTGTGTGTATGTGTGTGTGTGTGTGTTTGTGTGTGTATTACAGTCTGGTTGAGCTGTGTCATTGTGTGTCTGTGTGTGAGTGAGAGAGTCGGCAGCTGAGAGAGCAAAGCTATTAATATCTGCTCCTGGCTGGCTGCGATAGCAGGACACTCCATCAGAAGATGTCGGTGTGTGTGTGTGTGTATGTGTGTGTGTGTTACAGAGAAAGTGAGAAAGAGTGAGATAGAGATGGAAGCAGAGAGAGTGACTCCACAGTCAGCACCCGGGGGATGAGGGAGGTTTCATACATGGACTAAAATTCTATTACTTTAGGCTGGGTGCTCCCCGCCGCAGTGCCATTCTCTATTTCACACTTTATTAAAAATATTTTCAGAAGGAGGAGGAGGGCATGTTGAGAGCAGGTCAGGGTCTACTAACACCGGAGCAGATGGTAGACGGAGATTTGTTTGATAAAAGTTTCTCTGCTGAAGACTCGACCCAGTCGACAGAAGAAAATGTTGACATTGTAGGTGTCTGCAAACCACAGATATGTCACATTTACACGTTTTATACCCATATCAACGTTTCTTAAGTGATGTAGTATATGAGCTGACTTTATCATCAGGAAGTGGAGGGGCTGGTGGATGGTGTGTCATTTAGGAAGGACGCCCGCCAAGCTACAGACCACTGTTAACAACCAACATACAGCAAAAACAGCTGCGTGTCAGTTGGCCTTCTAGCCCCCAAACGTGTTTTTTTCGTGGCTGTTTGTCCAGCAGGGATAGGGGAACAAAATAAGCAGTTGTATTTTACATAACATTGCTGCTTTTCCAGCTGGAATTGTGCCCCAAAAGACAATTTTAAGATAAAATATGATCTTTTCTGAGCCATACCCAAGTGTTTTTTTTTGAGCCTCAACAAAACCACACGTTAACCACAGTGTTGTTGAAGAGCTTCGATGTATCTGCTGCATAATAACGTGCAAATGTAACGTATGTGGTTTGCAGAAATGTACAATAGCAACATTTGTTTTGTTTTTTACTGGTGATTGGTTTAGAAGACTGTGAGAAGAAGTAGTTGTTTTTTTGAGTTGCTTTGTGAGGAAAAACTCACTATTTAGTCAAATGTACAAACTTGTATCGTATCGCATCACATCACATTGCATCATACTTAAATTCTTGAAAATGATGCCACTGAAATTTCACTGAACGTTGTGCACTTGCTTGACAAATATAACACCTTGTCTGGACCAAGTGACATTCTCCGAGGCTGAAAAATATTGCCAAAATGAAAGTGCCAACAATTGCAGTTCCTCCAATGTCCACTTGAGGCTGGCTCCAGAAGCCACGCAATCCTTATAGACCCCCATGTTAAAATGTCCAACTTTACAGCAGAAATTACAGCCTGGTACAAAAAACTGTTTTGGTCTCTGTAGCTATTTTCAAAATTCATGACAATTGTATGGGGGCTGAATTTTTATATAACTCAACTATTTGAAAGTTATAAAGGCTTAAAGTTAGACATAATTAAGGGAACGGCCACTTAGAGGGACAGGCTGTCACTCCTACAGCTCCACTCCCGCTTCCAAATGTTCTGACTCCCGAAAAACAAGATGGTGAAGGCCAAAATGCTTCAACATGGAAATCCACAGAGCAGAGCGATTTGTGACGTCATGGAAGTTTATGGTCTGCACTTATAAGACTAAAGGCCTAGTTCCAGGTAGACCTGTGATACACTGACATTGAATATGTGGAAGAATTGTTTGAACACATGATATTTTCCTCATACCTTTGAAGAAGACAAATTTGCCGTCAGATCTCTCGTAGGCAGCATCGATGCGAGGCGGCAGGCCCTTCCAGAACTGATCGATCTGCATGGGATAACCCTCCTGCACCTTGTTGTTCCTCAGACGCCAAAACCACCGGTCCTGAAACACAAAGAGGCACAAGTTAGAAATTCAATGGGTAGGTACTGGAGATGGCTGTAATAAACCCACAGCAACTTTACAATCTACAACTCCAGTGGTTATTAAATATAAGAGTCGAAATGAGTCTGAAATGATCAGGAAGTGGATGAGAGAACTTTATTTTACTGAGCTGCAGTTTGATCACAGCTGAAAGTGTCTGATTTCATATGTGAGACAGATCTGGGAGTAATAAAGCCATGAGCATGCATGGTTCTGTTATAAATCTCAGTCATTGTGGAAGTGGTCTCACATGCACAATTTCAACTCTTGCAGTTAATAATAAATGGATATAGAAAGCTCTGAATTAACCATTTGCATATCAGTACTTTTCCCTGCTTCACCTGAAAAGAACAGCAAAAAATAGTAATGCAAATTTCAGCGTTCAGCCATTATCCATCACAAGCCATGTTTCCATCAGCCTGTTTAGATGCGCATCTAGAAGTATCGCATCGGAAAATTATGATGGAAACGCCAAAATTAAAATTAAAATCCCCTGATTCGCACAAACTAAAATACGCTCGCTTTAACCAGGTTTTGGTTGATTCAAAAAAATGCTGATTTGCAAAACGGGGGATGGAAACAGTTATGTTCGAATTAAGTCTGACGTAGTGCACCTCTCTCCATGGTGATATCCACACTCCGGGTCGGGAAGGCGGTAATGCATTTACAAGCTGGTTGCCAACCACCTGAAAACGTAGAAGAAGAAGAATGCGAGACTTGTTCTGTTTCCGGTTCTGCGGAAAACTTGCGCGAGTTCGTAGTTTTCACCAAAGTCCATACATTTAATGGAAACACACAGGATTCGTATTTCTTTTAATGCGCATTTCCCAATGATTCGTTAGCTAATGTTTTTACCAGACTTCTGGGAACAGCTGACCTAGAAGGTTCCCAGATAGCACACATACATCTGGCCGACGTCGGCCCGATGTATCAAGTTTAGATCGTTAAGACGTAGCAGGGAGAGCGTTTGCTCATTGCCAAGACGTCGCTGAGACGTTAGCCTTTAATCGAAAATGACCACCACGCGACGTTCAAACGATCAATAAAAAGCTGCGCTCAGTAGGCGTTCCTTCATTAATATTCATATGCTTCGTTAACTACGACCTTTATTCATTTAGGTCGGACCTTTCAAACTACAAATATTTCACCATTCAATGTGAGAAATCAGTGCTAACATTCAAAAATAGCTGACTGTTACCCTATTTCGTGTGTAAGTGTGCATAATGAAGAGACAAAAGTCAATTTGACAAACTTTATTTTCAAATTTCCACAAACAGTATCTGATGGCCAGTCCGCTTCTCCTGGCAGCCTGCAAGACACAGAAAAGACGATGAGCACATAACTTCAAGAAACAAATCCCAACTTCACCACTGTATTTTTTTTTTAGCATTTCAGCTGTCTTTTAGCCAGATTGAAGGCTTTGGGTCCGTCACTCTGCTTAATTTAGTGTTGAAACGGTTAAATAACGGGATCCGTTAACTCTGTTAACTGTTAACAGCAGCTCAACAATCAGTCCTTCATCTCGGAAAAACTGTGGTTTCAAAAATGCTCTATTACCTGTAGCCACCGGGTCAGTTTGCTTTGCAGAGGAGGAGACCTCGACTGATAAATTGCCCATAAAATCACATTAACAACATACTGAAGGCATCCTTAAACTTCACTATTTCACCTCCGCGCTCCTCTCTGCTGGTCTCACCGACACTTCAGCACCCATTCTGGGATACACAGTGTCGGCCCACCCCGCCTGACCTCCGTGCTCCTCTCCGCTCCTCTCCCAGACACTTAAGCACACGGAGGTCAGGCCGGGGGGCCGCGGGACCACGGGTGGCAGCTCCGGGCACTTCCACTTTAACCCAAAACGAGTGCTCACGATAACCAGATGAGCAGATAACGTCAACTAGGGAAAATAAAATGAAAACACCACAGTTGTAGCCTGTTAGCATAACATGAGCTAAACCGCTAAACTAGCTAACAGCTAACGAAAGATAACGTTAGTTGGTGGGGACATGTGCTAAGCTATATACACCCAGTCGTGCCTCGCCACTCACCAGGAACCTCTTTTAACGGTCAGAGAAGAAACAACAAAGCTATTTTCTGCCAGTTTATTCCAGTTAGCTTACCTGAAACCAACTGCGATGAGATGCTGTGTGCTGCGAGCTCAGTTCCGAACAAACATCGCGGAGATGAAATCCCGCCTCTGCGGCGACTTCCGTATGTGGGCAGACATTCTACGGCACTGGGCCGACCCAAAGCCGACGTAACAGAGACTTTTGATGAGCTGGGACAAAAGAGTATTAAATTTAAAGATATCCGCCCATGCGGCCGACACTTGTCAGACGTTGTAAATGCAGGGCCGATGTGTCGTCCTCAGGCCGACGTCGGCCAGATGTATGTGTGCTATCTGGGTTGAATATTGTAGTTAAAGTTAGCTTACATTAGCTGGTAACATTAGCCTGACAGTGTTTCACCAGACCCCTGGTAACAGTTGACCCAGTAGGTAGAAAATAGAAGGTAAAGTTTGCTAATGTTAGCTAGTAACGCTAACCTGACAGTGCTGCATCCATGTACATACTTAAAATGTAACTGACAGTTATAGTCAAGTTAATTTACTCATGGGCCAAAAACAAGACAGCAGTCGTTTCAGTCGTGGACCCAACCACACACAAAATAGAGTGCAATGAGTTCGGAGTTCGTAGTTTTCACCAAAGTCCGTACATTTAACGGAAACACACGGGCTTCATATTTCTTTTAATGCGCATTTCCCAATGATTTGAATCACTTTTGGATGGAAACATAGTTAACTAATGTTATTTCAACAGTTTGTCAGTTACTTTAAGCTAACTATTTCAACATTAGCCATTACTTTTGGCTAACTAATGCTATTTCAACAGTTCATTAACAGTTCATTAGTTTAAGCTAACTGTCTCAACCATTATCCATTACTTTTGGCTAATTAATATTATTTCACCTGTTTATCAGTTACGTTTAGCTAACCGTTCATTCATCACTTTTAGCTAATTTTCTGTTTCTAGCCTACTGTAAGCTAACTGTTTCAACTGTTATCCATTACTTTTAGCTCACTGATGCTCTTTCAACAGTTAATTAGTTAATTTTAGCAAACTAATGCTAATTCAATAGCTATTTAATTGGTTACTTTTAGCTAAATGTTTCAACTGTTTATTCACTTTAAAGCAACTAATGCTATTTCAGCTGTTTCAGCCAAAAACTACTAATGACGTAGTAAGTAGTGTCCCATTTCCTCAATTAAAATTTCAAACTAACCCCTGTGGCTTCGTTTTGAAGGGCCACTACTCAGTCGAGGGCACGTTAAAACTAGGTGTAGGGCCAAGGGGGAGAATTGGGACCAGACTGTTCCCCTCTGCTTTTCTTTGGAAACTATCAGGGACTGTCCTTACTGACTGTGGTTCAGTCCTTATGGTATTTGCAGTTTTTCACATGCAATTTATTTCCCCCAAATCTCTATGAAAAGAAAGAGATGCTAACTCTTGCAGACGCGGCTGCAGTGAAATGAATAACGTCCAGCCCATAATTCACCCGAGGTATTATGGAGGTAGATAAAAGAAGACGACTTGAAAAAAGAAGACTGAAAACAATGAGTGAGAGGGAACGACCAGACGGACGAACAGACGGGAACAGAAGACAAAGATAAGAAAAGAGAGGTGATGCAAGGTGTATGGAGGAAATAAAGGAAGAGGCATGCAGGAGCCAAGAGATGTTAAAAGGGGAGGAAGCAGAGAGGGGAAAGAGGGAGGAAGAGGAGGAGGAGAAGAAGGCAAGCATCAATCTCAGCTCATTATCATTTGGCTTCGGTGAATCTAGGACACAGCCAAGCACAGTCCCCACTGAGCACCACACACACACACACACACACACACACACACACCCTCCATCTCAAATGATCTGACATCATCCACTGGCCGCTAATGCTTTTCTGTGTGAACCCAAAGAGAGGAAAAAAAAGAAAATCAATGCTTCACATCCAGCAAAAGAAACCATGAGTGTTTCTCACCGAGGAAACATCCCATAATGAGTGTCTCCTTTCAAACGCCCACTGGCTCTCAGTGCTCTTTATGTCCTAGTACGCTTCTGTCACAGAGTTAAAGGGAAAAGAAAATCGGCCTTGTTTTTGTGATCGATGGTGATGATGCATTTTTTGAAGTTATAGAAAGGCTTTTCTTTCAGGGCCATAAACTCCCTCAGCACATGATGCCACAGTTCGGCGTGTTACCACACACGTCCTGCACCGTCAATCTGACTCTGAGAGGAAGTGTTTGGAAAACTAAACGAATGGCTCTTAAGAAGACGTATTAGTGTCTGCCAAACAGACAAACGCAGCCCCCTTATTACATGAGGCTGCAGCAGAGGGCTTAGGGAAACAAACACAGGATCGTGTTTTGCTTTGGTCCGTCAAACAGATGTCATCGTCAACTGTTTCCTTAAGCTTCAGCTCAGCATTCTGGCATGAAACCATCTGTGCGTCCCAATACCCATGCAACCATATTAGTTAGTATGCCGAAAACGATTTTGTATGTCTCAATAGTAGGGCTGCCCCTGAGAAAGAATTTTACCAGTGGACCAACAGTCCTCATCAGGGTCCATCAGTGGACCAACAGTCCTCATCAGGGTCCATCAGTGGACCATCAGTCCTCATCAGGGTCCATCAGTGGACTAGTCTCCTGCATGTTTGTGATATGAATGTAATGATGAAATGATATATTTTGGTGGTTTGAGTTGAAGGTGTGAGAAAGAATAGTATCAGTAACATTGTTAACACTGTGCTACATTACAGAGAAATACAAACCGTACTAATGAACCTTCATTAATATAGGCCTATATTTTATCTCCAAGTGCACGTCACACACTGAGCGAGCCGCCTGTTAATGACGCTGTGGGCTAATGGGCATGTAGCTACTTCCATGTTTCAGATGATACGTCATGTT